TGTGTGTGTGTGTGTGTGTGTGTGTGTGTGTGTGTGTGTGTGTGTGTGTGTGTTGACTAACCTTTGGGAGCTGAGTAATAACCCGGTCCTTCTTCACAGGTGGCAACATGCTGATGCAGCTGATCGATGCACACACACGCATGAACACACACCTCCTTCAAGAAGCCGCTATCACCACTACAAGCACACGTTTTATTCACTGCAAGAGGACGCACTTCTTGTATTTATCCCTTTCTCATAAATCACCCACAGAACTACAGAATCCACGCAGCACAATGCCTTCTAAGCTTGTCAGAATTTAAAATTTAAATTCTATTTTTAGTAGTCAATGGACAGTAATGCAGAAATACACAAACAAATAAAGTTTTTCTTTTTAACAAAGAAATCTTAATGGATTTTCACCAAATGTTGTAGAAACGTAGACAGTCACCTGAACAAAGTTACTAATGTCATTACTACTACTTCTCATGGCAGCACTGCAGACCCCAAACTAACATTCCTTACGGGCCTGTTTGCTGGTCAAGGATTATGCAAGTTGTAAAAATCTTTACCTGAAGCACTCAGAAGATGTGTTATCCAAAGTCCGCAGAGGAAACAAATTCAGAACAAAATGACGGTCCCACAGCCTCAGAGAGAAGACCCACATACTCTGAAATGAGCGACGAGACACAGAGTTAGCTGTCAAACAGCGACAATGTGCGGTCACAGGTCACATTTTATATTAAGAAATAGCTGCATTTGTTAACGGGAGAAAAAAATAAAATTCACAGTTAAGTGGACAAACATAAATTACTAGCTTGAGCACATAAACAAATAAATAACACACAAAAGTAGGTGATGACCACTATAATACAGCTCTTAGCTGGTAATTAGATGCTAAAATGCTAACAAAAAATCCGGCACGTTGTTATAAATAAAACAAAAATGTTCAAATGGTTAAAATACACGCATTAAAAAAAATTATCTATCACCACAGTTAAAGTGTTATTTAAAAAAGAAAAGAAAAGAAAAGGATTATCAAAGCTAGCGAGACGTTGGAGTAAGTGAGTGACGGTTTTCTCCGACAAAATGCGAAGAAAGCCGAAGTAGCACTGACGTTTTATTTCCGCGACAGCCGCAGTATAAAAACGCGCAAACGCGCATTGTTCGCCCTTTTGGTCTCTTCTCGTCCGGTGTGGTTCATTGTCGCTAGTTTCGCTGAACTTGCGAAGTGCATTGATACGTGAGAAGGCTGCCGTGGTTTTAGATGAAAGGCCCTGCGTTAAAGGTTAGTTTGTAAGCGTGTTTAAGTCGTGATTTCAGTTCGTTAAAGTTGAAGGTTAGCATTGTTCTTAGTTGTGATGTTGTAGCCACGTGGGGAGGACTGCTGGTCCTGTGCTTTTTGCTTTCTGCATATCTTAACGCAAGCATTGAATGCCTCCTCGATGTCTCATGTCTGCCATGACTCTGGAAAATCATATTTCTGAAAGTCTGACGCACTTATGCTACTGATAAAAAGTGGTTATGCAAATTATTTCAAACCCATTCATTCTCTTTATCTTTGTGTGAAGAACATAAAATAGTGAATTTTGAATTCTCAGAAAGCTGTCAAATGGCTGAGTAACAATATGAACACCATAGAAGGATTTAAAAAATAATTATTATTTTCCTCTCACTCTCAGGTGGACCTAGCGCTTTTGGGTCACAGTATGAGTACAAAAATTGTTCTGTTCAAGTCATCCTGTGGTCTCCTTGTGTCCTTGGAAGGTGAGTGACCATAAAGTGGACCCAGCTCTTTGTCTGATACATCTGTAACCGTGATGAAAACTGTGAATAGGAAGTGCCGTCTGATGCGATAACTGACGATGTTTCTCACTCACTGTTCTGAGCCTCAGTCTCAAAATAGCTCTGTGGTAATAAGTCTGTTCACATGAGTAGAAGTTAACTTCTGTTTGCTCTTCAGGCTGCTCGGAAGATGCCAGATCAAGAGGATGACAAACCAGGATCATAGGTTGGCTTAATAGTTCTGAACCCATGTAGTTCTGATGCATGTCAAAACAAATGAACTCACACGCTCACGGTTTCCTCCTCCGGGTAAAGGAAGAGAACTTGAGCATCCGTGAAGGATGTTTGTCTGCATGGTGCGTGCACTCCCAGCTGAACTAGTGGACAGATGTGGATTTGTTACACACAGGTAAATTTCCATTCCTGCCCATAAGCAAGAAAAACTGGCTGCTTCTGTTGTGATGAAATTTAAACTGATAACAGCTGGAATTACCGGCAGATTGTTCAGTGTTGATCATTGGTTTTCTGAACACAAAGTGAGAATAAATTTGTCTAGAATTGACTTGATCAGTTCAAGTGGCTCACCATTTTGAACTTTGTTTCAGATGTCTCTAAGTGAGCTGGTTGAGATTCATCTGAAGACATGCCTAGCCAGTCTTCGTAAGTACACTTATAACAAACCTGACAGTATTTAAAGATAAGCTCACCTTTGTACAACAAGGACTGATTTTTAAAGTACTCACGTGCACCACATGGAATTGACATCATTTGAAATCCTGCTGGGATTTGTTTGTATAATTGTGTCTGATCCTAAAAAGCTTTCCACATTTTGTCCAGTGAAATAAAATCTGTTTAAAATTGAATCCAATGCTATTCATCATTGTGTGATACTTTAAAATTTAAATCAGTGTGCTTTGTTGTGCGAAGGAGAGTTAATTGGAAATGCATTTCCTAAGAGTCCTATGAGCCCTGAGTGGCTGTATCGATGATGAAAACCTGGAATAGGAAGTGCCGTCAGATGCGACAACTGACGATTGTCTCTAATCCACCTGTCTGAGTCTCTTCAAATTAAAGAAATTGATGCTTATCAAAGTGTGCTGCATATTCTGATGTCTCCCTTTTTTATTATCAGGTCTGTCAAATGTTGACTTGGTTCACTGTCCAGTGAATTTATCAGGTAACATTTTTCCTCTATATGACAAGTACTTATCATAAATTGTGGTGATGAAACCTAAACTGAAAAGCTGGAATTACAGTCAGATTGTTCAGTGGTGATTGTTGGTTTTCTGAACAGAAAGTTGGAAGCATTACATTCTGCTGTTAGACGAAAGCTTCTTGACATTAACTTCCTCTTATTTATGTCTCAGAACTTGATTCAGTGGCTGCAGAGACTGCTTCAGTATACATGAATCCAGAGCTCGGTAAGATACATGCATGTTAAGTTATTGATTAAAGGGTCAGATGTCTTAAGTCCTATAATTGTCTTTTAGCAATAATGTGGTCTGTTTAGTGTGACCTCTGCTGGAGAAATGCAGTGATGAAGTTTGAAAAATAACATGATCCAATAAAGAAACTTTTTGGAATTGTTAGCCTGTTTTCACTTTAATCTGTGTTGGCTTTTTATTTTGCACATCGTTCAGTCTATTTCCTTTCTCTCAGGTGAAAAGAGGACTTGGACTGGATCTTTATGTGAAGATGGAAAGCATTTATTGCAACATTAAGAGCCGATGTTGCTGTAATTTGAATAAACTGTTGACATGAAACCAGTGTTCTCATCATTGTGTTAAACGATAGGCTTGAATTTTAATTCAACACCTGGTTGGCGCTCAGTAAAACACAGACTTACTTTTTAGTCTCAAAGTGTTTTAATGGCTTGGCTTTCAATATTATCTGACTTGGACTTGAACCACATCAGGTGACTGTAGCTTTACTCCAAATTTACTGCAAAGAGTCCTGATCTGAAATGAACAACGGACTTGACAAAATATAGGGAACATCAGATTTGGGTCTGATTGCATCACAGCAGCTTGAGATGAGAACCTGCCACCAGCAACCCTGTTACTCTGAAAATCACTGTCAGGTTTGAACTAAATCTATATAAATTTACTGAGTTGTAAAGCAGTCTGGCTGCTGTAAATAATGAAGTGGCTGGTGAGTGTTTATCATGCTTCTGTTGGATTTATTTTTATTGTATAGCACCTTTCAGAACTCAAGTCATTCAAAAAAAATGGCAATTTAGCTTTCTTAGGTATAAAGTCACTGACTTTCCAGAACATGTTTCAACAATCAGAATTGGTAGCTCTGTTCCTGGCTCTTCATCGGAATCTAATGAGCAAGATGAGCAACTCCAAGTCAGCCCTGGCAATAAAGTTGAATCAACTTAAATTGAAGTCTAAAGCTCAAATGCGTCTGTTTCAGGAAAATGTCTTTAACAAGTTTGGACTGGTGAATACTTTACGTTGTGTGTACTCTCCTTCCACTACTTAATGACAGTGAGCTCGTGATTTTATCTTAGAATTGTTTAACAGTTGCGCTCTCTGCAGCTGGCAGAGCAAAGCATTTTATATAGTTGGCTGTAAATATAGGGACAAATGGCAAACGGAGCATGTTTCTTAAGGCTGTAATCACCTCACTAGTAATGGGTAGATGAGGCTTCATAAAACGTTTCAGCACATTCCTCAAACTAGCAAAACAGCAACACTGTAGACACAGTGTTGCTGTTTTGCTCCATACTGACACCTGCTGGACCTTAAATATCATTGCAGGCAACTTACTTGACACAACAGACACTGATTTAATGACCTAGTTATTCTTGTATACACTGTAAGGTATTGTACTTTCTATGGAATCATTTTATATCTTTTACATATTGTAGACATCTTTAAAATATATTGTGAATGACATTAAGTGAAAATTAAACTGAAAGTATTCTGAATATAATATTACCCATTTAAATGTAATTGACTCAGTTTATTATAAATTTCTGTTCAAAAAAAAAAGTTTATCCAATGTTTTTGCATTCAGTTTATTGCGTTTTTTTTGGGGGGGGGGGTTGACGCCATTTCCCCAGTTTTGGAAAACTGACAGGCATAGATGAAGCTGGGGTACACAAAAAATGTAAAGCCAGGTGGAAAAGGTCCCCCAGTACGTTAAAGGATCCTCTGATCTTGGAATGTTTCTCTTCGACACTCTCCACAATACTAAGGGGTTGGCAGTCCTCTATAATAAAATTCAGGACTGCCTGATCCAGAACGGTCTTCCTAGATGCTTGTTTTCAAAATAATAAAACACATATTAATACAAAAAAAAAGATGATAAAGCTGTTCAGTGTCTATATAGGTTTACCTGTGTGCATTCTCGGTGTGTTTGTCTCCTCATTTTCATGTTTGGCTATGTAATGCCTAAACACTGAGGTGTTTATGTTTGTGTTAGAAATGCACAGATACGACATTTAACCTGCATAAAATGAAATAAATAATTTACACTGCAAGTCTCATCGCTGATGGATTACACTGAAACAAAGACAGACAAACTATTTGCAGTTAAAAGATCAAAATGATCCCACACAACAGAAACATTTAATTTTCTTTCGGGCTCCATTTTGTTATGGAGAGATGTATAAATTTTATTTTATTTTTTTAAATCTTTGCGAGAGTAATTTCGTGTTTTTTTGGTGGCGACTCATTCCGTTGGCGGATGCGGTACCTTTTAAACACAGTTTGGCGCGTTGGCAATGAGCGATACAGCAGCTGTATCGCTCACGTGACTTTTTCTTAAAGCGACACACGCACCGATACAGGTTTCACTCTGTGAGCTTGATATATGCGCCTGTGCGTTAGTGTTGCTGGACCCATCACTACACCTCACATTTTTTTCAGATGAGCTTTGAACAAAAGTCACCAATATTGTCTGATGGTGTAAATCAAAAGAGGCAATGCAAGTATATCTTATTGCCTCTGCTGCAGAAACATGATTCGACATAGTGAAGGTAGATAAATTAAATACCTTGTTTAATAGTTGGAGAAAAACTCAGAAGTTTAGGAGGCATAGTGGAAACATTGTCTAAGTTTGTTGAATAAGGAGCTATGACACAAAAGGAAATGGGAACACCACAGGGATAGGCCATGCAGAGCATTAGTATGACAGAGGAGTATGCTAAGGAACAGGGTGAGATAAAAGCAAGTGATTATGTATTTTCTTTAAATCAAATCAAATCAAAATTTATTTATATAGCACATATTAAAACAACAGTGTTGACCATAGTGCTTCACAGTCAGTAAAAGCATGATACAATTTAAAAAAACAATAAAAGAGGACAACAAACAATAGGTAACAACACAACAAGCTAGACCAGCCAACTTGGGACTCCAGTCTTATGTATTACATTGTCAATATATAAAAGAGGGTGTGTGCTGCACATGTCACACCTTGCAATTTCAAGGAGGGATCAGTTGGTTGTCACCGTGCACAGGTAATAATCTCTGTTCCTTTCAATGGTAGCTCTCACATGGAGTTAGGTGTCTCTGAATTATTATTTTTTCCTTGCACCAGAATCTGTCGGAAGACTTCGTCATCATCATCATCATCATCATGGCTAAATCTGAAACTTGTCTCGTCAACTTGCATTACCAGGATGGCAGCGAGGGAAGCCCCTCCAACCCTGCCAAGTTCAAAAATCAGGACTTCGCTCAGATAAAAGCTGACTGCCTCCGGAAAGGAGAACTGTTTGTGGACAATGAGTTCCCACCAAACGGTCTTTCTTTGGGTGACCTGCCTGATATGAGTTCCTCACAGGAGAGTGAAGTGAAATGGCTTCGACCAGCAGTAAAATCATTTTAATTATATTTATTTTTCTTTCACTTCGAAATCTGATGGATTGTTAGTTAGCATTTCTGTACAGTAGGAAAATAGATTCTTTTTACATGCTTGTCAGCATATTTTTCTCCACTGTCTTTTCAAGGATTTATTGAGAAAACAAGGAAAGAAGGATAAGCCTGCTTTCTGTACAGATGGTATGTCACGATTTGACTTTGGACAAGGCGACGTGGGTAAGCAAAACTTTCTTGCTTATAGCCAATGACAATGACAAGTATGTTCCACAGCTTGGGAGAACTATTAGTTTCCTCCTTTTAACAGGTAACTGCTGGTTTTTGTCTGCAATATCTGCGCTGACCTTCCAAGAAAATCTGATGGCACAAGTTGTGCCAATGGACCAGTCCTTTGAGAACTATGCAGGAATATTTCACTTCAGGGTAACAAAGGATTAATAAATGTGTCTAAAGAATACTGTCACAAAACAGAAACACAACACATTGTGGTTAATTATTTCAGAGGTGGTGAGTAACAAAGTACAAATACTTTATTACTGTACTTAGAATTTTTAGGTATCAGTACTTTACTTGAGTATTTCTTTTTCTGACAACTTTTTACTTTTACTCCCTACATTTTAAACAAATATCTTTACTTTCTACTCCATACATTTTCCAAACAGCCTCGCTACTTTTGTTTTAACATATTTGAGGTGAGTTATTGTTTCACGTCACTGCAAGTCTTGGCGATTGTGGCTCAAGAGTTGGCCGTTCATCTTATAAGTGGAAGGTTGCCAGTTCGAGCCCCGGCTCCGACAGTCTTGGTCATTGTGTCCTTGGGCAAGAGACTTCACCCGTTGCCTACTGGTGGTGGTCAGAGGGCCTGGTGGCGCCAGTGTCTGGCAGCCTCGCCTCTGTCAGTGCGCCCCAGGGCAGCTGTGGCTACAATGTAGCTGCCATCACCTGTGTGTGAATGGGTGGATGACTGAATGTGTAAAGCACTTTGGAGTCCTTAGAGACTAGTAAAGCGCTATACAAATAAAGGCCATTTACCATTCAAACATCAAACTGATTTGAGCTTAAACAGTAACACATGAAAGATAATCCCTTTCCCCAGTACAAGGGGAACAGTGTTTTTTTATGCTGTGAAACCTGCTGAAAAACAAGCTGAGGCAGATTTGCTGTGTTATTCAAAGGTGGCTTGAAAAAGCTTTGCAGGTCAGTGCAGAATAAACAGGTTAGTTTGCTTTACTGTCATGGATGGATGATGATCAAATCACCACAGCCTGAACTATCACTGAATGGAGCTCTTAATAGAAATTATTGTGAGTTGTGATTCTTTTCTCCACTCTGAGCCATTAAAACTGATTTTAGGCCCTACATCAGGGGTGGGCAATTCCAGGCCTCGAGGGCCGGTGTCCTGCAGGTTTTAGATCTCACCTTGGGTCAACACACCTGAATCACATGATTAGTTCGTTACCAGG